CTCGTGCTCCACTTCAGGCTTCTGATCAAGAAAAGAACTGCCCAGTTAAAAAAGGACAAGCAACATTACAACGATGTTGACTGACAGTGAGTTTGCACATCAATTCCCTCGACAACCCTAACCAACGTTTCCTGGCTCTGGTCACATGTGGTTTCCATGTCTGTTTTGTCTGGAGGGCAGAACGTGTGTAGCTTTGAGAAGTCTGTGGGTGGACAGTTTTTTTCTATGTGACTGTACATGTTAGACACCGACTTCTCGAGTTCTGCTAGGTTTTTCACGTGTCTAAGGACCCCTTTGGGATGCCTGTGGGGTTCCGCCTCACACAGCGGTTTGGATGCTGGTGGCTGTGCCGTAGAAGATTGAGTTTCTCTGGCGTGTGTGACACTGGCAGTGCATTTAACAGCTGGTATACGAGTGCTGTCTGTGGGTGGACCTGAAGTTGGAGGAGGCAGTGGTGGGCAGAGGCGTGGAGCTGGCGGTCGAGGAAGAGGAGGAAGTGATGGTGGCGGAGGAAGAGAAGAGGTCCGGGGAGTAGAGGTGGGGAGAGAAAATGTAAGAAGCTGGGGAGGAGGAGGGTTAGGAGGAGAGAGGGGAAGAGGGAAGGTAGTAAAGGCGACAGGAGGTCGAGGAAGAGGAGGCCGAGGAAGGGGTGCAGGGATGGTGGGTGGGTGGGAGAGGTTTTCAAAGGAGTTCCTTTTCTTTTCCGTATCTAACGTACGAGTGGGGGTCTCTCTCTTAAAGCCTAGAGAATTGAAAACACAAGGTCTCGGAGTAGGAGGAAGTTCCAAGGTGCAGTCAGGAGGAGGGGCGACAACATTCGGTTCTGAGCGGAGTTCTACCGCTCTGGAAATCGTTGGCAGAGTGGAGAATGAAAAGTGAGACCAAGAAGAAGAAAAGGAAGAGCCCGGAGACAGAGACTTCATCTGCTCTGTTTGCTGTATGATCAGGGTGTCTCTGTGTCCCCTTTCTTTCTCTGACCCGTGGCCATCTTCGGTTGGGAGCATGGCATTGCCGCTACCTCTCTGGGTTGGGTGGGGTCCAGCGCTTTTGCATTCAGCTTTCTGCCTGGTGATCTGCCACTCCACCAGGTCTATGGTCTCTGGTCTGTTTGGAGCTTTCCACATGAGCCTCCTAGGGAAACTCACAGACTGATTCCATAGCCTCTGAATCTTTTCTCTTGGGCCCCTCAGAGACTGACTCTTAACTTGTGTCCTGGGTGAAAATAGCTCTTCAAAATCTGTCCTTGGTGAAAGGTCAGAATTGGTTGACCTTTGACCTATACTTTCCATATAGAGGGGATTATGGGTACTTAAGTCATCCTCATCAGGAAGAAATGAGAACGTCCTTGCTGGCTTAGGCTGGCTGTCCTTAAGTGGTCCCTCTATATGAGTCGGCTCACGACACTCAGTGGTACTGGACGAAAAGGCCATCCCATCGTGATGACTGGTCCTGTCTTCTGGGACCGAGCTATTTCCCCTGCTTTGTTCAAAATGGTAGAGAAGGAAAAGACTTGAAAGAGAAGAAGGAGACAAGTTGTGAAATAGCTTTCATAAGAGAGGCGTTCTCATGGCTATCATTCTATATTACATTACAAAGGCCTAACAGTGCTAATTCATTGAAGTAGAGCATCATCATGTTCAAGATCCTATTCTAGAAAAGACAAGGCAGGTGCATCCAGAGTTGAGACACTCATGAAAATATCAATCTCTAGACTAGCTTCCTCCGATTAGTTTGATATAGCAAAATATGTGGGTCCATATCTAATGGTTTGCTCCTATATAAGTCACAGTTCTGGAGAGTGTGGAGGGTACCTCTGCTTTTTTGTGTACCCCACAAACAAAAACCCTTGCTGGATGGTGCTCAGGGCATTCTGCTATGCACGGGTCTTGATAGTGTCTCAGTAACTGTCCATTATATTCCATCTCAGTAACTCTGGGAGAGAACTATATCCTCTGATATAAAACAAAATTTGTAACAATACAGAAAGGGATGCCCCTTCCCAGTTTAGAAAGACAGGTTGGAAAGTCCTCAGAGAGTTCAAAAGTCATAACTGAGAAATCAACTTCACGATACAATCCTGAGCTAATATGATTTCTTCCGGTTTAAATTCTATGCTTAATTATTTTAAAATAGAGACAATAAAAATAAAAAGGAGGAGGACTTACATTTTCTACAAACATAATGTGGGTCAAATTTTAGTCATGATTCCCTTTAATGACACTATTTGTTGAAACTGTGTTGGTGTCACTGCATGGTTTGCTCATGCATGAATACACGAGTAGATGTGCCTGCTAATTAGAGTTAAAAAGTTTCAGAGTACAAATCAAGGGCCTGAGCTTCAGCATTGGGACCCTTCCTTCTGAAAGGTTACTTAGCAGCTACTTCATGTAGCTCCTCATTAAGTTTGCCCTAAAGCATAACAGCAAATTAATTTTGTCACTTATCTAATGTTTAAGTAAAATACAAATATTTTGAATAAGAAACAGTTATTCAGCATGGGGTAATAGATTAGGCAATACAATGATATGGAAGTCTGAAATTTGATGACAGAAACAGGCATGCTCACAAATGGGCCTGGATTATCAGCCACTCCGAATAATTTAGAATGCAGGAAAGATAACAAAGACTTTTGCCTTTCCTAAGCGTGGAAAGCTATTTTGAAAACATATCAGGTATTATTTAACTTGGCATTATCTAGCCATTAGTTTTGGAAGAAGTGACCTATGCAATCATTGATGTCACTTTGGATTGAAAGAACTCTGTCTGAATTTAAGATGAAGATACTTTAGAATCCTTCCCTGGTGGGCATGAGCACTGTCACATCGGAAGGGAACTAGGCAGGGAGGATGAAGTTTCCCTCGAAACACAAATGCCTACATTATGACAGATGAGGACCACTGTGCAGACAACAATACTGCTCAATCTATCCCACCACATCTACTTTCTAGCAGCTTCTTATTAGAATGATATTTACTTACTTATGCCTATGTATCCACAGGTGAGAAAGAGAAAACATGTGACAGGAAAAAAAAGTTTTAGCTATCATTAATTTGAGGCAACTATGCAATACTAACAGATACTTGCTCTAAACAATATACACATACACGAAAGAAAAATGTTTTTTCAAAAAATTTCTTTCCATTTAGTCTTGAGAATAATATCTAATCATGTTTCAGATAAAATCTTGTGGCATTTACTCCAGTGTCTTATCGTGTAGGATTTTTTATCTGACACTATTTGCTGGAGATATATAAAATTTATCTTTGTGAAACATGGGTTATCTTATTCATGAAATGGAAATTTTAAATAATGTCAGGTATCATGAATGCATCTTAAATCCTGGCTAGTGTGTACTATGTTAGGGAGATGGTACTGGGTTTGGGGAAGAAAATAAATGTATCAGGTAATAGATGAGCAGTATTATAGAGTGCTAACTTTACATAAAGTTATTATTTACTATGTGAAGATTTTTTCAAAATGGATTTTTCTTTTAAAAAGTAATTGGTAATAATTCCCTTGGAGCTAGTTTATTTTGTATCTTGCTAGAATCCTCATAAAACATTATCAATAGAAAAATGAAGCATTTCTATAACTAAGGTTCAGAATGAAAATGATTCAATACATAATTGAAAGATCTACAAGTTTTCAAGTGCAAATAAAGACACTCACTTGTAGTTTACCCTCACCACACTCTGATTGCAGGTGCTGTTGCATGAAACTCTTTGTAAAAGTGGATATGCATATTTATTTATCTCAGTCATTGTTCTCATATGGAAATACTGCCAACTTCACACAAATGCTTTTTTATCTGAACATTATTGCTGGGAAGAGCTGCTCAGTATAATCATAGAATCAACTCATATTGGCTCAATTCCTACTTCACCAGTAATTCAATAAGAGCATCACTGTAAACTATGAAAAAGTAAAAAACACATACTTAAGGAATGAATCCTGTATGCAAATATAAATCTGTGCTTTAAATTTTGCTTTAACTTTAACACACATGGAATGTATATACTGCATATTTTATCTTATATATCACATATATTTATGCAACACCAAAATGCCACCCATGTACACTTCACATATTTATAAGTATATAATATTAATACTCATGCATCTGTCTAAACTAGTTTTTCCAGTAGAAGCAATTTTCATGATTTTTAAGACTACTTTACTACTGTGGCTAAATGCAAGAAACAAAAGATACCGCTTTTAGTCACTAGTAATAAAGCTCCCTGAGTTTAGCCTCTCTTCAAAATTGTATAGCACATTTAGTTGCTTATCCTGCCCCAAAGTATTTGTTCTTGAAGTTTTATTATAAATACAAATTAAATCATTTGCATCATTTGACAGAAATAGCTGTGAAGTCTCAGCCATACATTAACAAGCTCTGCCAAAATGTCTGGCTTAAAATTGCTTAGAAATTCCACAGTGCTTCCAGAGCAATAAATACAGTGAGCAGACTATTCAGAACACACCGTGCCATTTCATAGTTAAGACTTAAGTTTTCCTTCATATAATATCCTACAATAGTACCTTAAGAGCATCTGATACTAAACTGCAGAATTTGGTTTTGATTGCCAAATGGAAGGTTATTTTTTTCCTTATCTCAAATCAGGAATTACCATCTTACCATTTGGATTTATTACAATCTCCTACTTGTTTTTTTGAAATCTATAATTCTGTTCAAGAAATTGTCCCAATATCATTAAGAATGGGAGACTAAATATAATATCCAAACTCTATTCTGTAGGTGTATGTTATCAATGGTATTACTTTTAATATATATATATATATTCATAATTTTTCTTTTTTCTTGATTTGTTTGCTTTTTGTTTTTGACTACAGTTTTCCAACTTAAATTTTCAACTATTTTTGACTTAATAATAAATGACAGAGCAGGATAGGCTTACAGTTGTATTTCTGCATAGGCTTGGAACTAACTTCACTCAGAGTGTACACTCCTCCCCAAAGCAGCTGTTCCCCCTGCTACTCACATGGCGCTCTCTCCCAACTCCTCATAGAGATGTGCCCCTGGGGGTGGTGGTGGTGGGGGTGCAGCAGGTACAGGAGCTGCAGGCTTGGCTGCAGGCATGGCAGACTGGATTCTTGCAGTCTTGGTACACTCAGCCTGGCGTCTTGAGTAGAGTAAGGTTGTCTTGTGAAACTCAGTTTAGAAACCATAAACAGTCAATAGTCTATTGTTTTAATAATGAGGTTCTGTTATCAGATGGGACCCACTTAAATCATACACATATATTGTAACTACTAAAATCGATATAACAGAGCATCCTTATGTTCAATATGTAAATGTTTGTTCCTTGGAGAAACAGAATTCACAGAAATACTTTCTGATTTCTTATAAATGTCTGTGACACTGGTGTTAAAGGTGATCTGTGGTTTTAAATGTCACAGACAGTATTCAATTTACTTCTTAAAATTAAAGCATCAAATTGTAGAAATGATTAGAGCACACCTTACCTTTCATGTTATTGTTATAACAAATGCTCTAAAATCAGCTCAAATACACACACACACACACACACACACATGCCTCAAAATCTTAAACTCAAGTAAGTGCTAAGAAAATAATGTATAGTTCATGATGGTATGACTACTTGATCAATATAATCTGTGATTTCTCATTTTCTACTATATAAATTCACATGCAAAAACTATTCATAATTATACTTACACTTTAAACCTGTTTTGGAAAGCAGTGCATAAGAAGAGGAAAAAGTGGCATTAGAAATACTGTACTAACAGCTTTATTTCATGATTTACTATAAATTATGAACAAATCACTGATTAATCTCATCATGCCACAGTAGCAGGGAGGGGAAGGACTTCAATTTGGTGAGTGAATGAGTAGAGACTTACAAGTTATTAAAACATTCACCACAAAGAAAGAAACAGGTGAACTGTAGGGAGTAAGAAAAACTATTGAAATACAGATCTAAGAGATTTAATTCTCATAAGAAAATGGAAACTTGAGGGTGACCTGATATTTGTAAGGGCTTGTTTGTTTAGTCCATTGGAGGAATATTGATTTTACTGATATCAGAACATGACTTGTTTGAGGAATAGATAAATGAAAAAAAAAAGAGAAAGAACACTGCAGAATAAATGTGGAAATTAACACTAGATTGATCCTTAGTGATTTAAAGTGATTTTTTCAGTACTATTTATGAGGAACTTTAGATTTAATAATCAGTTTGTTAAGAAAACATTAATTTTGTTGGGTGGTGGTGGCGCACAATTTTGAGTTTGAGGCCAGCCTGGTCTAGAAAACTACACAGAGAAACCCTGCCTCGAAAAACTATACCCAAATGTTATGTTTACAACCACACATGAACTTTGTTATGAAATTAACCACTTCACATGGAACATATCTTGGACATTTCAAGTAGGGATTAACTCACTGTATTCAATTTAAGAGAAAATTATTTAGTGATTGAAAAAGAAGGTATGGTGACCCAAGTTTTGAGTGTCAACTTGACAGCCCTGGGAAGAGGGAAACTCATTGGGGGAATTACTTCTATCAGACTGGGTTGTGGGTGCTCTGTCTGCTTGCTTTCCAACTTCTCACAAGTTAGCAGCCTCTGGGAAGGAAGAACCTCAATTGGGAAAACGCTTCCGTCACATTGCCTATGGGACATTTTCTTGATGGATGGTTGATGTGGGAGAGCTCAGCTTATGGAGCTCAGTGACACTGCTGAGAATGTGTGCTTGACTGTGTACAACAGAAAGCTGAATAGCAGCCTGGAAGCAAGCCAAAGAAGAATGCTCCTGCCTCCAGGTCCCTGTCTTAAGCTTTGGTCCTAGCTTCCCTTGGTTATGGCTTACAACTGTAAACCAAACAATCTCTTTCTTCCCCAGGTTGGTTTTGGTCAGTGTTTTCTCGCAGCAACAAGAAGAAAATTAGGACAGAAAGGTTTCGGGGTAAGGATTCATTGGGAACATCTTAATGCTTTCCTTGTAGGTATTTCAAATAATGAATAGCTTTTTCTACCATTATTTCTTAGTGCTTGTTATATCAAGTGTTTATAAATTTTATTCTAATTGTCCGTTGGTTTTGTGGCAGTCTAACTTCTCCTTTTCATCAACTCTTCATTTTTTAAAATGGCTGTCAGTAGGGACATACCATTAATTTCTCATACCTGGCAGTAGGCCCAATGTATTCCTTGCTTACCTCAATTGTGGATACTTATCACTTCAATTCCTTGACTGCCTCACAGATATTAAATCGTTTTCACATAGAGATAATCCTAAAATGATTGTATTTTACTGTAGGAAGAGAAAAGACTAAAACTCTACTCAGCCATTGCATTTATGAGAAGACATGCGCTACACCAAGGGTACCAGGAAGAGAGAAGCTACATCAAAAGCCACAGGAGAGTGTTGAGTTTACACCATGATTTGGTAACACTGCATTGTCTTCATAGAGGAAAATGTAACTACAAGGAATAAAAGAAACAAAATAAAAAGAAACGATGAAACAACTAGTTAACACGACACTATCTGGCCAGGTTAGAGACCCGGAAATCTTTTCACTGAAACTGGGCGAAGAGTGACTTTGCTATCATCTTGTACTGCTTTCTCTTTGGGGGAATTTCTTGGGAGCTTTTGACCCAGAGAAGAGAACGCACAAAGCCAAGAAGAAAACGGTCCTGTGAGCAAAGACTTACCTAGAGCAAAGGACACTAAGAAATCTACACAGAGTCTGCGGTGCTACCCTTGAGGAAGGCGTTTTGGTACAAGCAGGAAAACACGAAGACGGGATAGTCACACCATGCACGTTTTGTACCTAAAGCTACTTTACCAGGTAGCTTCCTGAGAGTATCCACTTAGCATCCCCCATACTCACTGTCGGTAGCTCACTAAGACCACCAAGATGGCCGGGATGCAGCAAAGGATGATGATGAAGGCCAAGGCCAGCAAGGCCCCTTCCGTGTACCCTAAGCTTTCTCCTCGCTTCTTGATGCTCGTCACTGCCTCAGGAGTCCGGATCTCCAGAATGCGTCCTCCTTCCCCATAATAAGGTTGGAAGTCTTTATTGATATCGAGCAGTTTGCCATCCAGGAATCTTTATTGTGAGACAAATTGAAGAACTGATTACATTAGAAGAGCAGAGTCGATCTGAAATTAAAATATATCTGTTGAAGCCTTTTGATATTTTGAATTTAAAAAAAATCAAACTGCATTGTGGGGGTTAGTGTTACTGACTTGAGGCCTGGGAAGCAAGCATACTTGTGAGGGATCGTCTAAGGTTAAGGTTAGCCCCTGAGAATGTCTATAAGGGACTGTCTTGATTTCATTGAGAAGGACCTAGCCACTGTGGGTAGCACCATTCCTTAGACCTGGGATACCGGGTTATATAAAAGGAGATAGTGAGCAGAGGGTATGTGTGTTGGGATATGGGGCCCAGGGGTTGGGGTGAAATCTAAGGTTGGAAAAGCTTAAAGGGGTTTAGTGGGTGGTGGGTGGGGTCTTCCCTGGGATCCATAGGACCACTGTGTCCTCAGTAAAACTGCTGGGGTTGTGGACCCTAGTGTGGAGCCCAGGAGAAGAGGTACAGCCTGGGCACTACCTATTTTCTTAACTAAAAATTTCCACAATACAACATAAGAAAATTAAAATGCTTGTGTCTGTCTGACTCCCACATCTCCCCTCTTTTCTCTTTGTCATAGATGCATATTTATTAATAGATATAAAGATATATAATATTGTATAATTATATATAATAATCAACAATTATATAGTATATATTGTATAATAGCATAATTTTATATATATCTATATATATATCAATGGAGATTCATTCCCAGAGACTAACATTAGGCCTAGGGATGTGGTAATAAATTTGCTAATTATTATTACTAGCTTTGTTTCCTATCTTTAGACCAAAGAATCCAACATCTTCAGATGCTTAGATTTCAGATGATAAAAATTGAGAGAATAGCCTTAGCTGTCCATGACAGGGTATTAGGCAACAATTATAATGTCTTGGTATAATTTTTTTAAAGCTTAACTTCCATTCCTATAGTTTTAATATTAATATCGGCATTTTTTGGTCTTGGAGTGTATGTATCTTTATAAATAAATTATAAATTATTTATGAAAAATTCATAGGTTTAAAAATGCCAGTGTTTTCAGATAGTAGCTTAGGAAAATTCTAAATGGCAAATTTTATCTCCTCAAAAATTATTTTCATTTTCCATATCCTTTTGTGGTTTTCTCTCAGATATTTTATTCTAAATTTCTCATGAATGCAGTTCAAATTACACCCCAGTCATTCTAGTCTTTACTGCCAGTTAGCATCCTTAAGACATAGATGTACGTTTTTCTAAAATCCTGAAATTATCAAAATTAAAACACATTTATATAGAAAGTAAAGGAGACTATCAGATTAAAAAAACAGGGAAAGATGCATTAAGAACAATTGTCGAAAAGAAAAGAATATATGCACCGCTCTGAGAGTCTAGATCAGACTCATGAACTGTATTTACATATGACTGTGTATCGATGAACATTTTAATATCTTCCTCCCAATCTTCAGGGCACTAGGTGTCGCTAGAGTCTAGCAAAAACCTGGATACAGTCTTAGAGCAGATCAACAGCCAATGAAAACTATGTAATAACATTCTATTTAAGATTTCAGCCTTTCCCCATTGTTTTTTTTTCTGTCCTCCCCCTTTTCTCCTTCCTCCTTGCCCTTCTCTTCCTCTTTATTCTCCCAACCCCTTTCCTTTCTCTGTGGATTCTGCTATCATTTAAAATGTAGACAGTGCTTTTCCCTGTACCGAAACCTTATGAGTCAGGAGAATATCACACACTTTTATTTTCCTGTTCAAGAGTTGTAAGAAGACATAGGTTCTTCCTAATCATCAAGCCTGTTGAAGTCATTACAGGCAATCACCCTGGTTTGTTTTTCCCTGTTAGCCAGTGTCTTGCATCAGGAGTGTGAGGTTCTTATGAGGAGACCGCAAAGTGCTGTTTGGGCTCCTGACTTTAGCTGACTACTGCTGCTCCAGGTTTCTGACTTCAGTCCGGCCCATGTAGGACTTAGAAACAATGTGTGCGGATCCTATACTGTCCTCTGATTTCACTTTTAGCAACCTCTCAGTAGCTTTTAAACTTTAATTACCCTTAAATGTGAATTAGTTATAGGTTCTACTGTTACTGCGTAGATTACTATAATAAAAAAAAAAACCACTTACTTAAAAAGCTCATTTCTGTCAATGGCTCTGTTGGTCTGGGGGTCGATGGCGTAGACAGTCAGGTCGCACTTGCTATAGTCTTCTAGGGAGAAGGCATCTCCGTGGCGGCGGGCACCAATGGACTCTACCACAACCTTGGCACCAGGAATTTGATCCTGAACATAGCGATCCAGAATCCTATATTACAAAATAACAGATAAATATTACATTCTGATGGACTTAGTGAGAATTAAAAAAAATCACCCTGAACCATTGGAAAAAGCCTATGTGGGGCTTCAGCATTCACCTCTGAAGGATGTTGGAGGATGACTAAGAGCAAGAGGTTATCAACCATGTGCCATTTAAGTCTCAACTTCTGAATTTAAGATGTCACTTGAGTGTTGACCTTGCTCATGGGAAATGTCAGCTATATCGTACAAATGATGCTGACCCTGCCTTAAAAAGGCCACAGGACACTGGGACTCTCTACATGTGTTGTTGATGTCATGCGTGACACCTCTACGGGAGTATATGACACTAGCAACATGCTAGTGTCAGTGGAGGAATAGGACACCTGCTCTCCCAAGGACATAAAGATCCTCAGAACATGGTTGCAATGGAAGATGTAGACATGTTTGGTGAGTTTGCAAGATTAAATAGTTCATGGGCATCTCAGAAGCTACTTAGGATAAAATATAAAAATTTAAAAGATGTATTATCATCTGATACAGAAAAAATATTTGATAGAAAAGATAGAAATGATATTAGCCAGGAGATAATTTCTTAGAAGTTATAACTTTAGTTCTATAACTTGATCTTAGTTGAAAATACCTATTATTAACATTTGATGTTTTCTATATTTCTATAAATAGGAATTTCTTTAATAACTTCTTTATTATTAAAACATTATATCATGAACCCTTGTAGAGCACATTAGAGTATATATTAAGGACTTATACTAAATGGAAATGTATTAACAATATCCACATGTGTCAATTTCCTTTGAGATAGGGTCTCACTATGTAGCACAAGATGACCTAAATCCACACAACACAGTCTTTTTGTACAAAACCCTTTTTTACCTCTAACACCTGCATTCTTAGGTTGTTTCAACATATTTTTCTTCAGCTTCCTGGTTCCCTTTCATTTTATGTCCTTTCATGTTACCATGACACATAGGGAGCTTAACAAAATTACCATCTTATTAAAAGATAATAATATCTTTTATTATTGAATTTTGAATTTGAAACCAATATACATATACAATATAATGTAATAATATTGCCTTCATGCATATTATCCTACTACAAGGCTTTGTACATTGCCATAGAAAACCCCATAGAAAAAGCTTTCTGGGAGACTCCAGTGGACTTTGATTGGACAATTAACAGACATTCTGTATCCTGGCTCCTCCTGGTTCCCTGCCTAGGAACTGTATTACTAACAACTCTTATCTTTACTTCTTTGTTACATCTCTACCTAGGCACTAGTCAAGGATTCCTTTCCTCTCTACACCTGGCTGCCATACAGTTATAACCATGATGCACCTTGGAGGTACCCTAGATAAACCTATTGGAGGAGGTACCCCAACTGCTGTGTCTGAAAACCCCACCAAGCAGCTTTGGTCAGTGTCCCAATCCCCTATGGTTACCTCTACAGAGAGGGGGATAATAAGGACAGGCAGTTTAAGCATAGGGGCCTCAGTTCATGTCCTCAGCCATAAGCTGAAAACGTTCTTGGTCCTGTCCTGGCTGAAGGAAAAACCATTCAGGAGTCTAAAGAATGGATAGTCCAGACATTCCAGTTGGACAGGTCAGTGATCTGGCTAACACAGAACAGTGTGTACACCTTCAGCTATGGCAAAGAGAATGGAGGACAAAATAGCCCTTTAAGGAGATGTTGTAAAACTCTTTCCTAGAATTCCCACCTTCCAGCACCGTAGCTGAGAGAGCATTGCCAGCCTGCTTGCTTTCCTGAATTACTCAGAAAACTGTGGCTTTCCATTTTCCCTTCTCTTTAGGGCTTTGGGCTTCACCTTTTCTCTGAAGCTCTCCTCCCCACATGTGGATGCTTCTTAACCACATAGCTGGCCTCCACACAGGTTTCACTCAAACCACAAAACATTTGTCCTTTTGTGTTCCATGTCTCTCTTCTAGGCACTTGCTAAGATTTACAGCTTGCCTACCTGTTGTTTTTTCCTTTCAACTCAATAAAATTGTCCTTGATGTCCCTTTGGAATCCATTCTTAATAAGACTAAGAACCCTAAGAGTAGACCCTGGCACCCCTAATGAGTGTGACTCTTCCCGGTCCCCTCCATATGTAGACCCACAGTATTCTTCCTAGAGATTCTTCTAGGAGAAACCCACAGCTTTCCCATGGGTGTGTCTTTCTGTGTTCCCCCCTCTCTTTATACTTACAGTTAAAGCCTGTATTTGAATCCCCACTCTATTTCATTACAGAAAAAAGTCTTGAGCGCAGGCTGCGCATGTCTGCAGTCCTAGAATTTGGGAGGTGGAGACGGGGCTCAAAGGCTTAAGGTTGTCGCTGCACAATATGGTCTATATGAGAATTGTCTAAAACAACAAACAGCCAAACACACAAAATGTGCAGCCCACACTTCCTTGAATTTGCCTCCTGTTTTGTTTCAACAGTGCTGGGATTATTGATATGGGCTACCATCCTGGTTAAATTTGTCTGTAGACTTAATACTCCTTTTGGGATATATCTTTGAAGTATGTAAGAAAGCAACATATTTGAAAATGTGAGTACAGCTAGAAATAACGTTGTTTCAAATATCAAACTGACCCACTTTCTGCTCTATTAAAAATGCACTGTCTTACGAGTCCAGTGCGTGCTATTTTTACCCTTATTACAAGAGAAATCAAGATCTTAACTCGGGAAGAAATTTGTATAACAGTTCACGCTAGGAGATGCTGCCAATTACAGTGAAATGTTTTGTTTGCTTGATTGATCTTAGACTTTTGTAGGCCAGATGCTTGAAGCCCGCCTGCTCTGTTTTACATTTATTTCACTCATTAGTTTCTTCACTTTTTCAGGTTCTTTCTAGTGAGACTCTCCAAAGAACAAATAAAGCATGGAAGACTAATGGAGAGGAGAAAGCCACTTTCCAAACACTGTGAATGTCTGACTGTGATCCACGGATGAATAGGGAAAGGGGCCTTGACTAACAGCAATATTGATCCGTATTTTATGATTTCTCTTTCTCCCCAAGAGATCTATGCTTACAGTAATAATAAAATCCCAACAGTCACATAAAATGCACATGATGTAAGAAGGGCCTCCACATCAAATCACATCACAATTTTGACATTCTGTAGGCACAGACAGCACTAACACAGCTTTGGAAACCAAAGGCTTGGCTTTAGCATTCAATTCTTTTACATAGCAGTTGCGTAATATTAGACTAGTGACTATAAGTTTATAGAGTTTTAAGTTCTTTAAATGTATTTACACTTTAATATATTACATTTATTATATATATATTAAATAAAAATAACAAAATCATTTCGTGCATGGAATTGTGTGTGTTATTAACTAAACAGACTAAAATTTCCTTCCCCCCACTTTAACTGGACACACAGTATTCCACAAGATTTGGTTGGGCTTAAACATTTGTATTAGGAAGCCTCTAGCTTTGATCTAATTCAAGATATTTAATTAATTGGTGGGATTATTAAAACAAAATCACAATTGGTAAGTCAAACAAACAATGTGAACATGTGGTTAAACATTTCAGAAGGTTGCTATGGCTCCCATTGCCTTAGTTTCATAGTGCATGACTTACAGGTTGCATTAGGCATACTTTGATATGTTCCAAGGACTGCATATTAGCCTATGGAGAGGAAACTTCAATGTAACACTACAGGGTGGTATACAACTCAAAGTGTGGTTGAATGAGAAAAGTATCACTGATTCCTTCATAGTTGCAAAGACCCCAAAATAAATGAAGCCTAAAAATAAACTGTGCCCTCTAAAATGTAACAATGGCTAATCTCTGAAAAAATTGTCTTGATATGAAATATATAAGTGAGAAATTTATATTAATTTGAGTTCTCCCTATCTTTTCCTAAAACATGTAAAACTAAACTAAAACATTTTAAAATGATAACATATTTTGTAAATGTATTTTGTTCCTCATCTTCTGTGTACACATACTAAAAATTTTTTACCTTCATCTTTATTATACATTGTGTGTGTTTGTGTGTGTGAAGGTCTGCATTGTTCCTAGCACATAGTAATGGACGTGAAGTATACACACCTCTTTGGTAGTCTAATTTCAGTCCTTTGGATCAGATGCCTAGAATAATGTTAGATCTCATGGTAATTTTATTTTTCACAAGTTTTGGGAAACGTCCTTCATGATTTTCATAGTAGTTACATCTTTTTTTTTATCTCATTCACAACATATAACTATTCCTCTTTCTACCCACGATCAATAACGCTCTTTTTCATGTTATTTTGAAAGCATTTTAAAAATAATATCTAACCTCAAAGGGTCAAGGTGGTATCTCATTGTGGCCTTGACTCGTGTCTTTGTGATGGCTGGATGAACATCTGCTTCATGCAGCTGTGGTCCATTTGTGTGTGTTCTCTGAAAATGCTTTTGTGTGTGTGTGTGTGTGTGTGTCAAATGACCATTTTTATTGGGTTATCCCATACAAAGCTAAATGTGGTGAAAGATTTGAATATAAAACTTGAAACTAGATAACCCAGGAGATCATATGGGAGGAAGTTTTAGCATTAGACTAAGTAATATCTTCCTGAATGTCATGATAAAATATATAATAAAAATAGTAAAATATAATTTAAATAAAAACATGAAAAGAAGGAAACTATGGGTTTTCCCTCCTTTCTCTGAGCCCCTTAACCTTACAGCCCAATGTTTCCATTTAGTAGAAATAACATCGGGGTATGTCATTCTCTAATCTTACTTGATTGTTTTCCTCCTACATTTTTTTCTATCTTTAACTACTCTACCCCAAAACAGAAGAGTTCTTTTCCCTGCCCTAGTCCCAAGTGACTCCAAGAGACCATACTTGCTCATGAGTCCCATTCTTAGAGTTCTTGTCGCATGGCATGCCCTACACACAAGGATGGTTACGTGCCACCCTTGTTTCAGGCCTCTGGTGCTGTCTATGTTTATCCTGATCTCTATTCTCATCCTGATCCTGCATCT